CAGCCCTCAGATGTGGGACCTCCTCTGCAAAATCTCCATCCAAATTCTGTGTATTTCTTTAAAAATTATATCCCTTTATCCTTTCCTGAAGCCCTGCTGGCTTTGAGAATATGCCTGATGTTTTCTGAACTTACTATGCCTTAAGCAAACAGAAAATTGTTCTTCTTTCTTTTTTAACCACACATTATAAGAGCTCAGCAAAAACGTCTCCACTATGGTCTCAATACTGATGAAGCTAAACTAATGTGTAACAAATAGTTCTGAGTAATTTCTCCGGCCATGGTTGCTCCTGGCCCACTGCTTACGTCTGTCAAATGACCCCCTCTAAGGAATTGGAAGCAACTGAAACCAACTCTTAAAAATCATACCCACTCTTATTTAGCTAAGACACCCTGTGTACCATTCTCCTGTCCCTAGCTCTGAATTAATGGTGATTAGCATGGCTTCTGTGCCTGTAGAGGAAGGAGGGGGTCTGTGTACCTTGACTTCCTGTCCAGTCACATTTAAATCACTCGCAGATGGAGCAGGATTCCACCTGCACTGAGAAGGCAGAGGCTTATCTGCATCCCTTCGGTTTATCTAGATCCCCCTTGAAGAATGAGGTGCCACTTCAAAGAGGTAGGTGTTCTGTGGGTGGCCTTACAGCTTCTGGTTGATTTATGCTGGAGTTTAGCCGTTGCCTTTGTAGAGACTTTGTTTCAGGGAGTATATTTATCTGACCTTTCTTTGAATAGACAACCCCATAGCAGCTCATAGGAAAAAATGGGTCCTCCATGTAGAGAGATGGCATTTGGATGAGCTGCAGGAATTCTGGGCCTTCTCTGTGTTTGATCCCTTAAGGCTGCACTGGTCTCCACACAGCTGGGCTCAGCACCTCGCAGAGGATGGGAAGGGACCGGGCATCTTGAGGCTGAATAGATGACATAGACCAGCAGTTGTCAACCTGTGGGTCGCTACCCACAGGAACTGTATTAAAGGGCCATGGCATTAGGAAGATTGAGAACCACTGACATAGACTCTGAGGCAGCTTATTCCTTTATGAAGAATCAGAGTGAGGTCACTTGGGGACCAAAAGAATTGCAGGCAGTGCCTAGCACCATTCTGAGTTTGGTAACTCAGGGAGCCTGTGTTACTGCCTGAGAGCTGGAGGACTGTGGGTGGAGCTGGGATGAGGGACAGCCCTGAAGGACGCAAGCACCTGTGCTGTGTGATGTTGGAGAAGGTGAAGTAAGGGGCCATATGGTCTTTTAAGAAGATTTCTTTCCATTGCCCCTCATTTGCTTACAGATGTGGTGGGTCGCCATTACCCAGCACCCCCAACTCCACAAGGCTAGTGAGAAGGATTGCAAAGTATTAGCAGGTGGTTGATTTGCAGGCCGGGCATGGTGGGCTGAAGGTGCTGGCCTCGGGGGGGACCGTGCCTTGCCTACCTGAGACAGTCCCTCCAGACCCCTTGGTCTTTAGAGAGTTGGCCTTGGCTGTGAGCAGGAGAGCGGCGGCACCTGGCCCCACGAGGCAGAGGCGGAAGGTGGGAATGGAGAAGCTGTCCTGCTACTAATTTCTTCCTATCAAGTTGAAGTCCACTCCCCAGGAGTTTCTTCACATAGCTGCAGCCTCTCCCGCTGAGAGGGCACTGCTCGGGGAGCCTGGGATCCCCAAAATCTCTGCCTCCAGGCTGTTTTTATGTCCCCTAGTGGGTTCACAGTCATTGCAGACCAGCTGGGCCACTTCATTTAAACAAGTCATGGTACAAGCACACCGTGGAATACTGTTCAGCCATAAAAAAGAGGAAGACTTCACCTCTTTCGTAATATCCTGGATGGAGTTCTTCTTAGTAAAGTATCACAAGAATGGAAAAGCAATTATCCAATGTACTCAATACTAATATGAAGCCAGTAGATTATCTGATGCATACCCACAGAGGAGAAAAACTCATTTTGATTCAAGTTGGGGTGAGGGGTAATGAGGGAGGGGAAGGGGTTAGGGTGCTCTCACTGAATGGGCATGGGAGGGGAGTGTTGGGCACACCTTTTGTGTGGGGGACATAACCACAAGAGGAACTCTACCTAACAAAATCAAATATTTTGACCTGAATGTTTGTACCCTCACATTAACCTGAAATAAATTTACTTTAAATAAAAAAGCAAGAAAAATGAACCAGTTACTGGATGGGACGTTTTAAACATTATAAAATATTAATTCTTCCAACATTAACTTATAAATAAAATGCAATTCCAATTGGTTTGGACTCTTTTAAAAATAAAATAAATAAACAAGTAATAGGCCCAAGCTGTGTGCCTTCCTCAAAGATGTTTAAGAGCAAGACACTTAAATAGGATACAATATTATAAATATGCCAATGAAAAAGATGCAGGTGTCCTTGAGAGAGGCATTAGCTGATACAGGTCAATTAGGGCCACCACTGGGTGCCCAGAGAACATTATCTTGTTAATGGAGCACCTCTGCTGCGTCTCCCTCTGAAGTTCCTTTCCAGAAGTGAAATTAAAATCACACAATTAAAATGTTCACAGTTGGGGCTGGATGTTCTTGAACTGATTGTAAGATGAAGTGGACACGCCAGCATTTTGAAACAGCAATTGTCTCTGTCATTAAATGCAATTAACTGACATAACTGTCTGCTTTTCTCCAGTCCAATCAGTAAGACTTGATTGAAATGCTAAAACTTTAAAAACAATGCCACCTATTCTCTTTCCATCCTCACCGAAATTCTCACCACCATCAGAAGACTGCCAAGGGTGGTTATAAGCCCATCCGCTCTGGTATCTATACCTTGGGGTGAACATATCCAGAAACCAGGGAGAGAGAGCATATCTACTCTAAGGTTAATGCTATAGGGTGAACATACCAAGAAAACTGGGGAGAAACTAGTTGGAGCGGATAGAGCTCTAGTTTACTCAATGCACATCATTTCTTCTGAACCACGTGGCCTTGCATTTCCCAGGCATTAGACATTAGACATTATTAGGCATTTTCACATTAGACATTATGCCTAATAATCTTTCCATAGCTGAAGTCAAGGGAAGGAGCCATTGAATGGAAGTGACAACTAAAATGAAGATTCCAAAGGTGAGAATAAAAACTTAATTCATTAGACTTTTTTAAAAAAACTTATTTTGTATTTTAGATAATCTGGAAAATGTTAAAAGAAAAAAAGGGGGGGGGAAGTTTCAATAAACACTCTAGTGCAAATATCCTTATGGTAAAATGGTGTGTTGTTTTTTTTTTTCCAAATTCACCCCAATGCCCATCAACTCATGAATGGATTAATAAACTGTGGTATATGTACACCATGGAATATTATTCAGCAATAAAAAAAAAGATGGAGACTTTATATGTTTTGTATTTACCTAGATGGAGTTGAAGCACATTCTCCTTAGCAAAGTATCATAAGAATGAAAAAGCAAGTATCCAGTGTTTTCAATACGAATATAAACCAATAGATAAACATGCCACACCTTAGCCCACACAAGAAAAGAACACAGTGAATTCAAATGGGAGAGGAGGGAGAGTAATTGGTAAGCTCCCCCACAATGTAAGGGTATACAGCACACTCCCTGGGTAAAGGGCTCAACTACAACTTGAACTTTACCTAAGAAATGCAAACAACGTAATCATTTGTATCCTCTGAAATTATTTTTAAAAAGGGAAACATTTCATATAAACATAGAAAATCACCGTATTTTCTTCTCCCATACATACCTATTTTAATTAATATTGAATATATATTTCAATATGTCATGTATATTTGTATCTTGATTTTTTGCTTAGAAGCATTTTGCTTATAAGTGTTAAACACTTCATGAACATTTTTAAATGTTCAAATAAAATCTCATTATATGGACATATCATCTTCTTATTATTGTAAGTTTTTCTATGATAATAGAAAATAGTATTTTTCCGAGAGCATCTTTATTTATTTATTTATTTATGGAGACAGAGTCTCACTATGTCATCCTCAGTAGAGTGCTGTGACGTCACAGCTCATAGCAACCTTAAACTCTTGGGCTTGTGCTATTCTTTTGCCTCAGCCTCCCACATAGCTGGGACTACAGGCTCCCACCACAACGCCCGGCTATTTTTGTTGTTGTTGTAGTTGTCATTATTGTTTAGCAAGCCTGGACTGGATTCAAATCATCAGCCTCAGTGTATTGGGCTGGAGCCCTAACCACTGAGCAATGGGGGCCAAGCCCTAGAAAATATTATTTTTCTATGATAATAATACAGAAAAGGCTTTTTTCTTTTTTCTTTTTGAGACAGAGTCTCACTATGTCATCCTGGGTAGGGTGCTGTGGCATCACAGCTCACAAGAATCTCAAACTCTTGGGCTCAAGTGATTCTCTTGCCTCAGCCTCCTAAGTAGCTGGGACTACAGGCACTTGCCACAATGCCTGGCTATTTCTTGTTGCAGTCGTCATTGTTGGTTAGCTGGCCTGGGTCAGGTTCGAATCCGCCACCTTCGGTGTATGTGGCTGGTGCTGTAACCACTGTGCTATGGGTACTGAGCCAGAAAAGACACCTTGTTGGAAAAATCTTCCTGTACCTGCTAATTTTTTTTTCCTTAGGAAGGCTTCTTTTAAGTGCAATTTCCTGTACCAGAGATCAGAATAGTTTTTTGAAGCTTGAGGTATGTACTGCCAAACTGCCCTCCAGAGAGGTGACCAATTGCATTTCCATCAGCAGGGTGATCCCCCAGTCCCTTTCATGGCTCAGGCTTGTCTCTATAGGATCAAGCCTCTGGAAAGTTCTTAACAGATCATCTGGTTCTGGGGCAAACAACAATCAAGAGCTGAATTCCCAGGCCTCTGGCCCTGCCACCCATCAAAGGTAAGGGAGCAGGGCCAGCACCAGCGAAATGCCTGGCAAGGTGATTAGTTATACCCATAAGCACCTAGGGGAAGGCAAGCTACACTCATCCTGAGGACAGCTGCCTATATGGAAGTCTGATCCTAGGTTACCCACCTCCCTCTCTGTCTTTGCAGCTGTGCTGGCCAATGATGGACACCAGGTCATCCTAGAGAAGATAGAAGACTGGAA